ATCCATCACAATGATTTTGTTCTTAGTTTCATATTTTTAATCCCGTAAGCATTTGATGAAACACTCTTTAGTGCTATATGCATTTTCTTGTATTAAAAATGTGACAATTGTCCAAAAATGCACTAAAATGTAAATGGAGATTGAACATGTTCACTTTCCAGCTTATAGACAACTTTATATAGACTTGAAAATTCTCTCCAGTTGTTTAGCAAAAGTGAAAGAAAGGGTTTTTCCTGCCACAGGATATAACTTTTTGTTTGTTTTTTAATACAACATGCGTAACACACCACTGTTTTCAGTGGAAAAGTACAGAATAGTATGTACCTTTTATGAAGAAAATTGTAATTTACAATGTTCAGTGAGAATGTTACTGCTGATTTTCTTTTCCAAGGTGTAGAATATTCTTTGATTTATAGATTCTTTTTTGACCCAGATGATGGTTCTTTTACAGACCAATAAAATGGCTGAACATTTTCACAAATAGAGTATAACTAAATCTGGATTTCTGATACCTTGTCATTTGGGGGATTTTATTTTACTTTGTTGCTTTAAAATTCAATGCAGAGAAGTTGTTGACTATAGGGGAAATAAAGTTAATTCAAATTTTGTTAAGCGTTTTTTTGTTTGTTTGTTTTGTTTTTTAACAGATCTTTTGTTCTGTAAAGGAGTCGGTACTAAAAACACACATCTCCTTCCTTGTTCACCTTTACAAGTGTGGGGGGAAAATGTGCTAAATCAGTTCAACTTAGGCCAACTATTTTGTCTTTTTTTAACCCCCAAATGAAAGTCTCATTTTGTCATTTTGTCATTTCCAGGGGTGAAGTGGAGGGGAAGGACAATTCTGAATAGAAATTGTAGCTCTATGTAACTAAGAAGAAATAATAGCAAAGCCCTATTTCATAAAGTTCTGTTATTTTAATGTCATGTCTTCAGTGTAGAATTCTCTCATTAAAGATCCCTCACCTCGCTCAGTAAACATTTTGGTTCAAAGTATCTCTTCAGTAAAATATATATTATAATTTTTTAAGCACTTTTATTGTAGCAGAAAAATGAAATTATATTAGTCTGAGTATATTAGAATATAGGATAATTGGCCTATAATAATCTTTAGATCTGTAAATTCATTTCACATGTGATAACTAACATTGTACATCACAGAGGAATTTAAAGATCATGACCTTGACGTTTTAGACTATAAAATAGCTTTTAGGCTATAGTGCTTTGTGGTATAAAAAAGCAAGGCAACGAATCCAAAGTCAAAATTCAGCTTAATTGAATTCAGACTTAATTGTTACTTGAGTTTGCAGTTGTCACCTTTTAGTTCATTTGCATTCCTGGGCTATGACTAATAGGCCGGAGAACAGGTAATATGAGATCATCCTATAGAGTACTGCTCCTTTTTAAAAAAGAATAAAAAGAAAGAAAGCTAGTGTAAAATACACATAACATAAAATTTACCAACTTAACCATTTTAAGGCATACAGGTCAGTAGTGTTAAGTATATTTACATTGCTCTGAAACCCATCTCCTGAACTCTTCATCTTGCTGGAGCTGCTGCTGCTCAGTGTCACCTTACTGCCCGTAACCCTCAATTGGGGTAGGTGGAGTAAGGGATAAATGTAGAGCTCAACAGCTGCATTTGAGATAGTAGGAGATTGAGACAGCGAATGGTAATGAAATGTCCTTATATCTAATTTTTATTGTGAAATGTGACACAGAATACAAAAAAGTTTTATCCTTGAGCATTGTTACTGAGAAGTGGTATAACTGTCTTTCTGTAGCTCACATATATATTTTTTTTCTATTGTTGATGGACATTTGCATTGTTTCCAGTTATTACAAATAATGCTATAGGAATATTCTTTTGCATCTTTCTTGGAGCTATATGCATACATTTCTGTGGGCCAAAAAGTGGATTTGCTAGGTTGGGTACAGAAACCCAACCTAGCAAACGTGGATATGTTGCTTCCACATCCTAATTAGTCCTTGTCATTCTTAACTTTGCCTTTCTGGTGGGTGAATAATGATTTCTTGTTGTATTTAATTTACTTTTTTCGGGTTACTAATCAGGTTGGCCATTTGGAAATTCTCCTTTTGTATGAAACATTGGTTCTAGTGTGTTTATTTTTTTTTTCTTTTCATAATTTATTACATTAGTAGTTTTTATATAATATATCTTATATATAAAGCCTTTATCATTTGTTTTACAAATTACCTAGAAATTAATTCTAATGTAGTTGATTTCAATCTTTTGTATATCTGTGCCTTTGTATGCCCTTTGAAAATCTTTTCCTAACCTGAAGCCATGAAGATAGTCTTCTGTGTTTTGTTTTTGTTTTTATTTTTTCAGAAAATTTGAAGATTGCTTGAGCCCAGGATTTTGAGGTTGCTGTGAGCTATGATGCCTTGGCACTGTAGCCTGGGGCAACAGAGTGAGACACTGTCTCAAAAAAAAAAATTTTTAAAAAAGAAAAGAAAATTTATCTTTTCACACTTACCTTTGCAGCTCATCTGAAATTCATTTGTTGAGTACATTGTTCATTGCTTTTGTTTTGAGGGATTTTTTTTTTTGCATATGCATACCTAAATGTTTCAGCACCATTCATTGAGTAGACCATTCTTTTTCTTACAACTCTGCAGAACCCCTTTGGTAGTAAATCAAATGTCCATGTATGAGTTTATTTCTTTAGATCTTCTGTTATATCCCATAGAGCTTTTTTGTATGTTAATACAGCCTTAAGATAAATTAAGATATGATATAGCAAGTCTCCCTTACCCCTTGTTCTTTAGGCTTCTTCTGCTTATTAGCCTTTGCTTTTTCATATAAATTTTATAATCAGGTTGTACCAAAAGAGAAAAACTCAATAGAGCTTTTGATTCAGCATTAAATCTATGTATCAATTTGGGAAAGAAAACACTTATGCAATTTATGTAGCTTTTAACTTTTATTATCAGATAATGCTATTTTTTAATAAATATTATGAAGTTTTATTTTCCATTTGTTAATATAAGAAATAGTTGTTTTTGTATGTTGAAATTGTATTCAATAACCTTGCTTATTCCATTTATTTCAAAGATTATTTTTTATTGTAAGCATACCTCATAACTTAGGAATAATGGCAATTTTATTTCCCTCTTTCTAATGGTTGTATATTTTATTTTTTTTTTCTTTTTTTGGTTTGCTGCACTGGCTAAGACATGTATCTAATGTAAGACTGCATAACAAAATATGTTTGTCTTGTTCACTGTATCCTGGGAAAAGTTTGATATTTCACCACGTGTTTACTGTAGATTTTCTATAGATACCTTTGATCAGATTAAGGACATGGATGTTTCCTAGTTTGCTCTTTTTCTTTTGTCATGAATGGCTTTTGTTTATGAAGTGTTCCCTTTTTTCCTTCAGTAATTGAAATGATGTTGATTTTTCTACTTTATTACATGAATCGCAGAGATTTTGTTCATAATATTCCTGATGTATGTTTGGTAGAATTTACTGGTAACCATTTGGGCCCAGAATTTTCTTTGTGCAAAGACTTAATTACAGATTCAGTTATTTTACAAACACGGGACGATTTGAGTTTTATAATAATTTCTTGTTTCAGTTTTTGTGAAGATGAATTTCAGAATTGTTTTGCGAAGAATTCGTTCCTTTCATCTAAATTTTCAATTAAGTTAATGTAAATAATACTATTTAATGATTGTTTTAATGTCTGTAGGTTTGTAATGTCCCTTCTGATTACCAAGATTGGTTTTCTTTTTTAATTTTTCTTTTTGCATTCATCCCTCCCCCAACCCTTGCTCTTTTCTCTTTCATTATCCTACACAGTTTTTAAAATGAGTTTTGTTAGCTTTTTTAAGAGTATAACATTACTCCAAAATTAAAGCTCCATTTTCACAGGTTTTGCTGTGAACTAATGCTGTCAGTTTAATATATATTTAATTTCATTGCACTTTTTTTAAAGTTTGGTTTATTTAGGTATATATCTTTTATTTCCAAACATTGTAGTTTTCTAATTCTTTGATTGTCAATTTCTGTCTTAATTTAATTGGAGCAGATACTCTTTATGATTTTAATTCCTTGAAATAGGCTGAAATTTGCTTTGTGACCCAACATATGGCCAGTTTATAAGCTATATATTATAAATATATTAAATATATTTCATTTTGGCAAAAATATATTGCCAAAAGAGCATATGTTGCTTTCAGGGACATATGGAAATATACTTTTTAAATATATTAATATATTTTTCCCATGTTTCTGAGAGCATTGTGTGTTCCTTTGGCAGTTGTTGAGCATATTGGTTCTTTAATGACTTTTTTAATCTGTTATTTACTAACAAAGATGTATTGATATCACACACTATTGTAGCTTTGTCCATTTCTCTTTGAATTGTGGATTTTTTTCTTTATATGTTTTGACTTTATATCACTAAATGTATATGCTTTTATTACTCATATTTTATATTGGTAAATGAACCTTCAGTTTTGGAGAAATAGACTATTTTCAGTAAGGCTTTTTATAAGCCTCTTTTGTCTGGTACTTTCGTCAGTATTACTATCATGCCAGCTTTCTTATGGTGTTTGCATAATGTCTTTTTCTTCTTTCTAATATCTTTCTTTGGACTTACTCAGCTTTTCACTTTGTGACTTGTTGATTTTCATTAGTTTTATAAAGTTCTTAGTCATTATCTCTTAGAATGCTCTATGCTCTTTTCTTTCCTAAGACTCGAATTAAACATAGACCTTACTCATATTCTCTCTGTCTGCTCCCGGCTTACTTGATTTTTCATCAATTACGGCTAAATCTCCTGTCCATTTAATTTACTTTTTCAGTTTTTTAATTCTAAAATTAGATTTTTTTCCCCTTAAATTGGCTATGTCTCTTCCTAATGGTTTATACCTGACCAACTGAAATTCTCAAGCTTGTCTTAGTTAATATACTGAGCATAATTTTAAATTGTATCTAGCAAACCCAATAACTAGAGCTCTTGTGTTTTATTTCTATTGCCCAGTGGTACTTTTTCTGCTGGTGGATAGGTAGTCTTATCTCATGTTGGACATAGGTTTGTGTGCTAGATATTATATTTTTTAAATTGCATAGGGTAAGTTTAAGCCAAAAGTTTTATTTTACTTTACAGATTTTCTTTTGCTTCTGCCAGGGACCTCAGGAAACTAGCAGGCCAGAAATAGCTCAATTCACTTTGGATTACAAAGCTACCCTGCTATTCCCCATAAGGGCTTATTCATTATTCCCATTCTGAAATTCTCTAAGGATGATATCCAAGTAGATATGAATGTGAACATTTGTCCTCCTAGGCCTACTAAGTTATTATAATTGCTGTTCACCACCAATTTTCCTGGGATAAATGGCCTCAAATGGCAGACTTGCCTCAGAATTTCCATGTTCTCATTTTTGGCCTGATACTATTGATCCTATGAAGTCTGAAAGCAGGTACTGTTTTTAAGCATTCCTAGTTCTGCTTTTGTAATTGTCTTTAGCTGAATAGTTGGTCCAAATATTGTAGTCTATTATCAGAAGTGGAATATCAGAAACAAAATTACCTATGACCTTTGAATCTCAGAATGTGTATAGCATTTAATACACTTCTTACGTTGTCTCTCAGTCTCACTGTTTCAGAGGTAGATATTGCCAATTCTAAATTTATGGCTCCCAGAGATAACTGCAGTCTCCTTACTACCTAGAAAATATAGCATTATTTATTGTCTCTATTCCTAAATTTTAAAAAGAGCCTGGAGGCATTTTGATTAAAATTTCAAATGTCTGCTTCTGTGACTTTGTTGAAAGGTGGGGTTAATGAGACTTGAGTGAAAACTTAAGATCAAATGGCAGCCAGAGTGACTGACTGTAACAGTGCATTGTCTTTGTAACCTCAGCACACCATCTTAGTTGTTCAAACAAGCAAGATAGATGAAGCATGTTCTTCTTTTCACATAATAACATGGATCAGTGCTCAGGTCTATATACTACTGAAGGAAATTTTTAAAAATGATTTAATGGCCCTGGCTATTAATGAAAAAACCGGCTTAACATTGCAGAAATGGGCACTAGTCAAGCTCTGTTACCTCCTCAAGGAATATAAAAAGTGAATTTAATATAGACTTGTCAGTGGCAAACCTCCCAGTTAATATCTCATGTTTATATAAAGTTATTTTGCATTTAGGCCTATACTGTATTTTGAGTTAAATTTTGTATATTACTTGAAGTGTTTTTTTTTTCCAGTTTATTCAATACCATTTTTTGAACAAAGTATTAGTTTTCCCCCATTTAATTGTCACCTTTGTAGAAAATTGATCAAAAATATGTTGGTCTGGCCAGGTGCGGTGGGTCACGCCTGTAATCCTAGTACCTTGGGAGGCGGGTGGATTGCTTGAGCTCACAGGTTCAAGGCCAGCCTGAGCAAGAACGAGACCCCCATCTCTAAAAATAGCCAGATGTTGTGGGGGGCACCTGTAGTCCCAACTACTCAGGAGGCTAAGGTAAAAGGATCAGTTGAGCCTAAGAGTTGGAGGTTGCTGTGAGCTACAATACCACAGCCTTCTACTGAGGGTGACAAAGTGAGAGTCTGTCTCAAATTAAAAAAAAAAAAAAAAGTGTTGGTCTAGTTCTGGATTCTCTATTCCATTCCACAGAACTATGTGTGTGAGTGACCTTACACCAATACTACACCACTTTGATTATACCCCAGCTTCATAGTAAATCTTGAACTATAGTAATAAAAGTTCCACACCTTTGTTCAGTGGCCTTTTAATAATTGTCTTAGTACCACAGCCATGTACTACATATCTTGGGGGGGGGGGAAGATCACCTAAACTATAACTGACAAAGCAATAATACCCAGCATATATAAAGAACTCTCAGGGAAACAAACAAAAGATCTTTCTTTATTAGCCCCTTGAAGAAGAAATCCAAATGGCAAGTATATGGAAAGGAAGTCCCCCCCCCCCAGCTAAAATGTACAAATAAATACTGGAGAGGGTATACAAAAATGAGCTCCCACTCCCATACATTACTGGTGAGAATTTAAAACTATTAAAACCACTCTGGAAAACTGTATTAGTGTAATTGAAGATAGTCATACACCATAACCCAGCAATCCTTCTCCTAAGTCAATAATAGACAATACTCTGATAGAGTATTATGTATAATGATAGTATACAAGGACGAAACATAACTCTGGGAAGGAAGGATGGAGAAAATGCGTGCTTTGGTTAGGAATGGGAACTTAAAAGAGAGTTATAGTATTTCTTGAGTTGAATTGTGATTTCTTATGTCTGCCTTAAAATAATTTGTTACACTGTGTGTTTTATTTTTGCTCTGTGCTTGGGCTGTAACACAGCAAGGAGAATGGAAAGATGGAAAACTAGGTAGCTCCAGGCTTTTATTTCCCTATGTAAACAGTACCAAAACCACTAGAGATTGGTTAAAGAAAACTTTATGGGAGCTCTGAAAACAAGGGTTTATAAGTACTTTACAGGAACCAAGCAAATGCCCTATCAAAAATGTCACATTCAAAATGGTAGGAAATTTTGTGATACTTTTACTCACCTTTGCCCCACCCTTACCATAATGTGACAATGTGGAGAGGAAGAGCAGCCCAGTTTTCACTTCCCTCAAATAGGAGGAAGCAGGGCAGACCTTATTTGCAATATTCCAACCTATTTAGGAGGTGTCTGAAGAACTGTTCTCTGTTTTGCCTAACTTGGAGCTTAGATGAGGAAAAGTGCTCAGGTATGGCTTATGAATACCACAGGGGGGCTACAGACCAATTGGTGAGAACAAGCTGAGGAGAAACTAGGACATTTAAAGGCAGTGTTGTATAAGAGAGAATTAAGAACAACAGGACTCTAAGCAAGACATGCCAAGCCAACTTCTGAGAGGTCTTTAAGCCTTCACCCCATGTTGATTCCAGTGGCCAGAAAACACTGCTAATTAGTGATGGTCTTCCCTGGCTTGGAGACAGTGTACATAGTCTGGAGAAAGTGGCTGTTTTTTCAAATGCCCAATTTTCAACAAAAGATCAGAAGGCATACATAGAAATAAGAAACCATTTGAAGGAAGAAATAATGTAGCAGAAATTTCCCCTTAAACAAAAGCATCAGACATTCTAAAGACTTTAAAACAACTTTCTTAAATATACTCTGGGGCCTAAAGTCCATTGTCAGACAATATATGAACAAAATGAGAGCTACTAAAAAATCCAAATTCCAAAGCTGAAAAATTATCAATTGAAAAATTGACTGGAGATATTTAGCAGCAGACTCAAACAGGAAAAAGAATAATGAAGACATTTCATTTGAAATCAAGTCCAAGAAGCAAAAAAACAAAGTAAAGAGAGCTTAAGAGACACCATCTAGCAGACCAACATGTGCATTAAGGGAGACTCAGAAAAGAGAGTGAAATCCCTTGAGGGAAGTCATAGTAGAAAACTTACCAAATATGAAGAAAGACATGAATCTACAAATCCAAGAAGTTTATAAACTCCCAAGTAAAATAAACCTGAAAGGAACCTGTACCAGACACATTAAAATCAAACTGCCAGAAGCCAAAAAGAAAATCTTGAAAAAGCAAGAGAAACATGACTGGTCACATAGAACTGATCCTCAATAAAATTAGCAGATTTCTCAGCAGAAACCATGAAGGCCAGGAAGCAGTTGCATGACATATTTAAAGTGTTGCAAAAAAAAAAGAAGGAAAATTCTTTATCTGGCAAAACTGTCCTTCAAAAATGAGGGAGAAATTAGGACATTCTCAGAAAAAGCTGACAGGAGTTCATTACTGCTGGACTTGCCTATGAGAAATGCTGATGAGTCCAAGTTAAAATGAAAGGCCCCAGATAGTAACTCTAAGCCATATAAAAATACAAAGATTTCTGGTAAAACTGAATATTATTTTAGTTCATAACTCCACTTTTTATCCCTACAGGATTTAAAAGAGATTTTAAAGACAAAGACATAAAGATAATTATAAATGTGTATTAATGCACAGTATTTAAGCATGTAATTTGTAAATCAGTAACGAAACTATAAAGGACTAGAGGTTTTTGTTTTTTTGCTTTTGGGGATTTTTTTGCAGTTTTGGCTGGGGCTGGGTTTGAACCTGCCACCTCCAGTATATGGGGCTGGCACCCTACTCCTTTGAGCCACAGGCAATGCCCCTAGGACTCGAGTTTTTATGTGCAATTGAAGTTGGTACCAATTTAAAACAGTTTGTTAACGTTAGGATGTTAATCTGGTCATCACAAAACAGCCATAGAATATAGACAAAGGAAGTGAGAAAGGAATCAAAAAGTATCACTATAAAATGAGCTAAACAAAAAAGGCAGTAATGGATGAAATGAGAGATGTAACTCATACAGAAGTTTAATACATAAAACTTTACATAAGTCAGCCCTTCCCTATTGGTAATTTCTTTGAATAGATGAAACTCTCCAAGACACATTAGCAAAAATTACATGCCGTCCATAGGAGATAGGAGATGTATACATTGAAAGTGAAAAGTGAAAGGATAGAAAAATAAAAAGAGTTGGCTATACAAATATTAGACAAACTTAAGTCAAAACCATACATTATAAGAGACAAGTACATACTGATAAAAGATGAATTCAAAAAGAGCAATTATAAACAGCTATGCTTTAAGCATCAGAGTTCTAAAATATATAAAGCCAACATTGACAGAATTGAGAGGAGAAATGCAGTTCTATAATAATAAAAGACTTCCATGCCCTACTTTTATAATGGATAAAAGTACTAGACAGGATTAATAAGGAAAAAAGAACTTGAACAACACTACAGACCAAAGGGACCTAACATACACCCATCCCTCCATCCAACAACAAAAGAATGCTTGAAGTGTGCATGGGCCAGTCACCAGGATAGATGAATATGTTAGGCCACAAAGAAGACTGAGATCATACAAAGTATCTTCAAATCTCAATGCAATGAAACTACAAATAACAGAAGAAAAATTGAAAAATCTACAAATATGACATTCAACCAAAAATTACAAGGAAAATTAGAGAATTATCTTCAGACATGAAAGTAAAAATACAACACAAAACTTACGGGGTACCACAAAAGCAATGCTAAAGAGGAAGCATAGCTGTAAATATTTATTTTTGAGATAGAATCTCACTCTGTCACCCTGGGTAGAGTGCCATGGCATTAGCTCAGAACAACCTCAAATTCCTAGGCTTGAGCAATCCTCTTGCCTCTACCTCCCAAGTAGCTTAAGGTGACCAGATTTTAACATTGGTAAAACGGGACACCATTGATGGGGGCAGGGGTGGGAGGGGGTGTTCTTAAATAAAAATTTGGTCTATGTGGAGCAACAAAAATTTTCATAGAATGCAAAAATAGTATTGTAATATATTTCTAATTTCAACATAAGTCCAATTTACAAATATAATACATTAAAAAAAAATTATAGGGCAGAGCCTGTGGCTCAAAGGAGTAGGGCACAGTCCACCTGGGCGACCTTGCCCAGGAGTGGAGTAGGGAGTTTACATTAGCCTTTTCATTTCTAAATGAAGTTACATTAACCTCTTCATTCCCAAATGGAGTTACATTAACCTTTTCAGCAGCCAAAAACTGTATTTCCTTCCCGTTGCCCCGCCCCACGTGTTCCCTAGCTTGTTGTGCATTCTTTGCAAAAATCGGGACTTTTTTAAAACGCCACGGGATGCAGGACAAATTGTTAAAAATCAGGATGTCTGGTCACCTTAAAGTAGCTGGGATTAAAGTATGTGCCACCATGCCCAGCTAGTTTTTTCTATTTTTAGTAGAGATAGGGTCTCCCTTTTGTTCAGATTGGTTTTGAACTCATGAACTCAAGCAATCCACCTGCCTCAGCCTCCTGAGTGCTAGGATTATAGGCGTGAGCCACTGTGCCCAACCTGTAAATACATTTTAAAAGATAACAAATCAACAACCTAATATAACTGATGAAACTAGAGAAACTGAACCCAAGACTAGCAGAAGGAAAGATTAGAGGGGAAACAGAGTAGAAATCCAAGAGTCAAAGATTCAAAAAGATAAACCAAATTAATCTTTAGTTAGATAAAGGAAAAGAAAAAACCTACAATCAGAAAGTAAAATGGGGATATCACTACCAATCCCAGGAAAATTTAAAAGATTACAAGAAAGTACTATAAACAAATGTATTCTAACAAATTGGATAAGCTGGATGAAATGGACGAATTCCTAGAAAGACACAATCTTCCCAGATTTAATCATGAAGAAACAGAAAATCTAATTTATCTTAGGAGGCCAGCATGCCTTGATACCAAAGCCAGAAAAAAAACACTGTAAGACAACTACAGACTAACATTCCATATCAATATTGATTGAAAAGTCTGCAACAAAATACTTGCAAAGAAACAACATATTTATAGGATTATTCACTATGACAATGTGGGATTTATTCTTAGAATGCAAGGGGGGGTGGTTTGACATGAAAATTAACATAATGCACCACACATTAACAGAATAAAGGGGAAAAGCCACATGATCAACTCAAGCAGAATAGGCATCTAACAAGATACAACACTTTTGTAATAAAAGCACAAACTATGGACAGAGGGAAACTACCTCAACAGAGGTCCATATATTAAAAACCCATAGCCAGGGTTAGTGGGTTCAAACCTGGCCTAGGCCTGCTAAACAAACAAAACACCCATAGCCAATATCATAATGGTAAAAGGCAAAATTTTTACACTAGGATTAAAAACAAGGATAGCTGCTTTTGCCATCTATGTTCACGTTCTAAGCAGAGCAACTAGGAAAGAACGAGCTATAAAAGGTATCCAAATTGGAAAGGAAGAAGTAAAATAATCTGCCTGCAGATAACATTGTCCTATCTAGAGAATCCTAGACCACACACAGACTGTTAAGAGTAAAAAATACAGCAAACTTCCATGATAGGAAATCAAAACACAACCCAGGAGTGTGTGTGTGTGTGTGTGTGTTTGGTTTTCTGTTTTTAGAAACAAGGTCTTCAAGGCCTCGCTGTGTTCCTCACGCTAGACTGCAGTGATTATGCACTGCAGCCTCAAAGCAATTGATCCCCCCATCTCTGCCTCCCAACTGGGCCTACAAATGCAGACTATCACCATCAGCAGCTGTGTTTTTTATGCTAACAATGAACAATCCATAAAGGAAATGGAGACAACACTTAAAATATAACCAAAAAGAGTAAAATCCTTAGCAATAAAGTTAACCAAGGAGTTGAAAAACTTACAGGGTGAAAACTATAAAACACTGCTGAAAGATATTAAGACGTAAATGGAAAGACATCCTGTGTTAATGGATTGGAAGACTTAATGTTAAGATGACAACACTACCCAAAGTGATCTACAGAGTTAGTATCAAAAGCATGGTTTTTTGAAAAAATAGAAAATTCTCTCTTAAAACTTACATGGACTCTCAAGGAACCCTAACAAAATAATCTTTAAAAAGATCAGCAGCGGTCTCACACAGTTTCCACATAAATTGCTACAAAGGTACAGTAATCAAAACTGTAGAACTGGAGGAAAGACAGACATAAATCTATAGAATAGAGAGCCCAGAAATAAACCCTTATGTATATGGCCTATGATGTTCAACAAGGGTACCAAGACCAAAGGACAGTCTTTTCAGTGAATGTTGGGAAAACTGGATAGCCACACGCAAAAGAATAAAATTGGACCACAATACTAATACTATACCAACACTATATATATATATATATATATATGTATGTAAAAAACTCAAAATGGATCAAAGACCTAAAACTATAAAACTCTTATAAGAAAAACATAGGGCCAAAACTTCACTATGCTTGATTTCCTGCATATGGCATCAAAAGCACAGGCTACAAAAGAAAGAAATTAGACTATCAAAATCACTTTTGTACATAAAAGGACACTATCAACAGAGTGAAAAGGCAACCCATGGAAGAAAATATTTGCAAATCATATAGCTGATAAAGGATCAATATCTAAAATACATCTAAAACTCAACAAAAGGAACCTAGTTAAAAAGTGGGCAAAGTAGTGGTGCCTGTGGCTCAAGGAGTAGGGCGCTGGCCCCATATGCTGGAGGGGGCGGGTTCAAACACAGCCCTGGCCAAAAACTGCAAAAAAAAAATGGGCAAAGTATTTGATGTATAAATGACCAAAAACACAAGAAAAAATGCTCAAAGTCACCAATCATTAGGGAAATGCAAATCAAAACCACCACAAGGTAGTATTTTACAGCCATTGAGATGACTATTAAAACAACAGAAAATGAGCGTTGGTGACAATGTGGAGAATTGGATCCCTTATATATTGGTAGTGAGGTTGCCAAATGGTGCGGTCCTCCATACTGTGAAAAACAGTCTGCCAACATTCCGCTAATGGGTATAGCCACAAAAACTGAAAGCAGAGACTGGTATTTGTACACCTCAATGGGTAAATGGATAAAATATGAGTGTGTGAGAAAGAGATGGTTTTGGCACATGGTGTAACTCGGATGAACCTTGAACATATTATAAGTGTAATAAGCGAGACATAAAAGCACAAGTGTTGTATGATTCTACTGATATGAGGTATTCAGAGTAAATTCATGGGGACAAAGTAGAATGATGCGGGTACAGATTTTTGGTTTGGGAAGGAGATGGATGGTGGTAATTTTTGCATGGTAATGCCAAGAAAAGTACAATGTATGCTAATGCCTTTGAACTGTACATTTAAAAAGTTAAAATGATAAACAGTTATATGTATTTTACCACAAAAAAAAAAAAAATTCAGCACGAGAGAATGAACATGTAGAGGGTTGAACTAGAAAGAAGATGTTGGCTCAAATAAGCAAACCATGATATGCTATGGTATAATATGATCACATTTGTACAAAGTCCAAAAATAGGTAAAACCAAGCCTGCTGTTTAGAAATACACATATAGTATACACATAGTTAAAAAAAATTATAGAACAGTTATTTGAGAAGGGTAAAGGCAGGAGATATGATTGGGTAAAAAGGGACACAATGGTCACTTCTAAGGTACCGGCAAACAGGATTTCAAGCAGTGGATATATGTGTGTTCATAATTATTCTTAGACTTCTACATATGTCTTATGTAAATCTAGAATGTAATATTTCACAACTTTAATCTATGCCTGCCCCACTTTTCTATTTCCCAGATGGTTTATGCTGGGAAAGCACAGACTAGAAAATTCAAAACCACCACGGTGATTACTTTGCCATCTCTCATTGAGGTTTTTTTTTTTTCTTTTTTTCTCCACATAGCATCTGTTCCACTTTCCCTCTCAGAAATAAAGTGGTTCCAAACACTTCATTCACCTAGATGTTTTAAAGACTGTATCTAAACAGGTTTACATTGTGACTTTTGAAAGTAGCTTATCCCAAAACAAAACACTCAATGGACTTAAAAGTGTTTTTGTGAACTCGTCAGCAAATATTAACTAATGTTTATCTTCTAGGGTTTTTTTGTTTTGTTCTGTTTTGTTTTGAAACAGAATCTCACCCCATGGCCCACGGGGCAGAGTGCAATGGGGTCATCACAGTTCACTACAACCTCAAACTCCTGGGGTCAAGTGATCTTTCTGCCTCAGCATCCCAAGTAGCTGGGACTACAGGCGTGCACCACCTGGCTAATTTTCCTAATTTTTGTAGAGACAGCATCTCACTTTTGCTCAGGCTGGTCTAAAACTCCTGGCCTCAAGCAATCCACCTACCTCAGCCTCCTCAGTGTGCTAGAATTAGAGGCGTGAGCCACTGCACCATCCTGTATGGTAGGTTTTTAAATGTGTTTAGAACACTGTTGTTTTGTTATAGATATGATTATTGTTCACATCAATAATCAGCAATTATCTAACCAAGAAAATTGGAGCTCTTTTAGAGGCACTAATCAGAACTTTTGAATCCCTGAAAATAAAATACAGACACACAAATAGGTATAGTATTTAATCGAAATATATTTGTCTAATATCTACAAAGTGTGAACAATTGGTCTTAAGAAAGCAGACAAAAGGCACAAAATTAGTATTACTACAGAGAAGCATTCATGCTATTGAATTTTATAAATGTCATTGAAGTGGCACTGTAAAAAATAAAGCATTTAGCAAAAATCAAATATTTCATTTCTCCTTGCTTTTTATTTCGGTCACTTCTTTGACCTAATTTGTAAAAGGCTAAGAACCGAAATTCAACCGAAACCATGGAACACTGATGCAGGCTGTATGTGTGTTTTAATCACAGTGCTTTCTTGTAGAGTTTGGGTCAAACCAGAGAGGTGCACTTAAGAAAAAAAATCCACAAGAAATTATTTTCTCTTTCCCCAAACTAAATACAAGATGGAGGCTGTGGTTGTGCATCTTGGTATATGCATGCGTGTATTTAATTTCGAAAGCCCTTTTTCATCATAAAAGTAGTCAAGTCTCCAATATGATTTGCTTTCTGCTGTAAAAGCCGCAGCTTGTGAAAAATATATGACTAGTGTTGGAGTGTGAGAAATTGTCAGAAAAATGGGCAGAAAACTTCTTGTTGGGGTCTGGCTCTGAGTTCTCCCAGAGCAAGAATAACCACTCCATCATGGAAGGCTCTAGCATAAACTTTAATAATGTCCTGCCCACCCTGTCTAGCAGGAAACGCTTATCTTTCTCGGGTGTAGAGGGTGTAGGCAGACAAAACACTGATGTGGGAAGCAACAATGTTTAAATGATAATCACCTGCACCTCCACCAGGAATGAGCCACTTTCTACCAGGTGGATGTCAGTTGGGCCTTGCCAATTCTCCTTTGTTTTGACAGGAGTTAACTAAATGAGAATATCTTTGTGAGTGTAAAACGTTTCTGGCAAAGTGAAAAATAGAAAACTTTAAACCTTACTGGTAAAAAGGAGCTCCTGATTACCCACTTACACCTTGGTGAGTGCAGTATTTACAGGTGTAATACTCAAATGTGTACATAGTGCGGTGTGTGTGAACATATATCATGTGTACACACACATGCCTCAAATGGCTCTTGAATAAATTCACTCCTTCAGAGTTTGGGGGTGCATTTTTCACAGTATATAATTTCTCTGTTACCATTTCTTGGTGCTAACAGGAGGTCTCAGTGAAAGCCAACAAAACCTTGATACTGTATCACTTTAATTCCTACAAAAACAAGGCTATTTGGGGAAGCTCTACACCTCCATGCCATCAGTGTGCCTTCCAGAGGGGGTTGAAGTATATCCAGCCGTCGCCCTGTAAGAGAAGGAAGGTGGCATTACATGGAGACCTCATCAGGAAAGAGAGTGAAGCAAGGAGAACCACTGCCAATCTGCACGCCTGCCCTGTCCTGTCCTCCTGTCTCACACCCAGGCCACCCTGCTGGTCTCACTGCCCCTCCGCCGTCCAGCTGATCTTCCTATCCTAACACTTTGAGGCCAGGACAAGAGAAATAGAGGGTAGTTGGATGAATGAACAGGGGAAAGAAAAAGTGAGGGTGTATGCATACCAGGGACTGATGCCCACCAGCCTGGAGGGAATGCCAACAAAGGCTCTCCGGCAGGCAGTAGGCACAAGTCAGCACACACAAGAAACACCACCAATCAGAGTGGAGGAGAAAAAGGCAAGACCAAACTGGTATATGCTACCTGGTTTAGAGTAGGAAGGAATATACTGAATGGTAACTGTCAGGATGACGTTACTCTTGACATGCCCCTTAGCCTTCTGTTAAGAACATACTGGCTTTTCTGAAACCCAGGGGGAAGACCTGTGAATGGTTCTTATTGGTGTTAACTGAGCAGCTTTTCTCAGCAGCCGGGCTAATTAAGGTGTCTCAGAGACCAGGTCCACCTCATAGAAGGAGCCTTTGAAGACTGACCTCACCTGGACAAGGCTCCCAAGCAGCCTTCCTGTGGGAACCTTAATCCAACCTTGAAGTCACTTTTCAATCTGTGTCCCTTAGTTCTTGACTGGGGAGAACAGTGGTGGCTCCTGCTCCTGGCTATACGTCTACTTCCAGGTACTACAGTGCCTTAATTCTTTTCCCAACCTTCTGTCTAGACAGAACAATCCCTTCTTACGTGAGTCAGATTTTTAATATTAGCAGTGGCTCTAAAACAAGCCTGTAGCTATATTTCAATTGGTTCCTAATGTTTAATTTTTTTTTCTATTCTTGACACTGTGGGAATACCACATTCCTCATAAAAATCCAAATTTCTTGCTCCTCATTAAGTAGACATTTAAAGGAGGTGGGTGAATGCCCTGATAATTAAGGACTCCCACAGCTGCCCCACTCCTCTCCAGCATGCTTCTCTCACTGACGTTGCTGGGCTCCTCAGGGCCTGCCTTTTCCGGCCCTGTCCTGTGGCTCCTGCATTCTCATAATTTCCAATTCTATTCTCAGAATCCTTCCCAATCACTCCACAAACAACTTTAAGAGCATAGAAGCACACAAAGCCTTGCTCACTCATTTCTGCATACCCGTGTCACTTTCCCAGAGGACAGCAGCAGCATTTCAGGCACAACTCAGGCTGGCCTTCCCTAGCACCTCTGTCCCTTTTGGCCCACAGGATGCAAAGCCCTCAGTGGTGAGGGCGCCGGCCCAGTGGGTGTGGAGATGGGCTGCAAGGGTCTTCCCAAGTAATTTGTTAGTAATGATAAAATAACCAGGGTCATGTGGCTTTTTTTTTTTTTTTTTGACAGAGTCTCATTTTGTCACCCTTAGTAGAGTGCTGTAGCATCACAGCTCAAAGCAACCTCAGATTCCTGGGCTGAGGCAATTCTCTTGCCTCAGCCTCCAGCCCCCTCCTCCTCCCCCGAGTAGCTGTGGTGGCATAGCACCCAGCTATTTTTACAGATGGAGTCTCACTCTGGCTCAGGCTGGTCCCAAACCTGTGAGCTCAGACAATCCACCCACCTTGGCATAAGCCACTGCACCTGGCCAGCTTCCTTTTTCTGGATAGAATAATATGCACGTTTGCAATCCCATTCCTTTCCCTCCCTGGCAGGGTGGCAGGCTTTCCTTAGAGAGGGAAACTGGGGAGCCGGGGAGTGTCTGCTGTTTGGTTCCGCCCTCCAGGCTGTTTCAGGCCTTGAGACATCATGAATGTTGCTGCAGAAAAACTGTCCTGAAGCCTGGACCAAAGCTGGTGCCAGTCAAGCTCCCTCAACCCAGCCAGGCCTGCCCTGTCCCTGTCTGTCATTCATCCCATCTGCCAGGCTTTCAAGCAAAATCCACCTGCCTTCTCAGGACAAGTTCTCTCATGGGCAGGAGTCCCAGGACAGGTGGCAGAGTTACCTCCTGGATGAAATATTTAGGCTTCCATGGGGTATGGAGGCTCTCCCGCTTCCGTTCCTCCACCCGCTGCTTCTCCTCCAGGTGCCGCTTCTGTTCAGTGGCTGCGTCAATGTCCCCCAGCCTCAAGTATCGGGTCACCTCCTTCCAGAGGTTCCTGGGAATGCATGGAACGGAAGAAACAATGAGACAGGCCCAGCTGGCCTGGGGAGGACTGACCTTGGCAGGCACAGCTGGAACAGGGAAGGGGCATCTAGGCAAGGCTTCCTTGGGGCAGCTCATCCCAAATGCCTCGAAGACCCCAAGAGTCAGGATGCGAACCCAGGGCTCCCTGGTTCCACATGTCTGCTATCTCTATTCTCTACTTATTCCAAACACTATATCTTTCTTGGGGCTCAAAGTGTCTTAAGATCAGATCTAATACTGGTAGTAGTCGGCAGAATGCTACCACAGCAAACAGCAGTGACAACAGACAAATACAGCATTTACCACATCGCTAAGAATTTTATATATAGAAACTGACTTAATCCTCACAACATCCCAACGATACAGATGTTCTGCTATTCCCATTTAACAGAGGAGGAAACATAAGGTCCATGAAACTTAAGGCAACCAGGCTGGTACCTGTTTTCCCACAAGGGAACCCAGGATTATAAGTTACAGACCATGAGTTACACGCTCCCTCATGGTGCAGGATATGTCATTTCCCCCGATGTCTACACAAAAGCTACTTCTCTGCCTTGTTCATTCACTGAAGAAGGCATCTGAATCGGCTTGTGTTTATCACACAGCTGCTTCCTCAGGACCTCCTAGGGCAGTGGTTCTCAACCTTCCTAATGCCACAGCCCTTTAATACAGTTCCTGTGAGTTGAGAACCGCTGTCCTAGGGGCTATTCAGACACACTGTGTTCTAGAGGGAGCGGAAAGGACGTGTGATAAATCAGGACACCATTACCCATGCGCTTCCTCCCTTTAATGCATCAGGAAAATCCAGGATTCCACGCAAAAGGAACTATCAGAATTCTCAGTGGTGGGGATTCCCTCCCTGGCTTTTGGAAATGATCAGTAACTCCAGGGCCAGGGAGCTCTTCTACAGTGGGTGCCCTCCACCCTTTTTGCAGTGAGGGCTGGGTGCAGCAGGGGACATGGGTGTTGGCCTGGTTAGGCAGAGGAAGGGCAGAGAGACTACCAGCAAAATGAACAGAGAGAGCAGCAACTTCTGAGAAGGGTCAGATGCCAACGAGAGAAACCAATCAGGGCTGAGCTCCAGCTGCAAACATCCTGAATCCACCATCAAGAGACCCTAGCACAGCCTCTCTGTGGCCCCTGCTTTATAGCTGTGAACTAACCTCACAGCCCATGCTTTCCAGTCTGTCCTGAGTCCTGATTTTAGAGGAAAGATCTGCCAGAACAGGAGAGTAGGGTGAGGTAAGGAAACAATAGGGGGTGGGTGTTAGGTTGAATCACAGTTTTTTCCATCACCCACACCCTCAACATACAGTTCATGCTCAGGGAGGGACCAGACACCAGGATGAGGCAGGGAAAAAAGGGCATCCTCTCAAAGGCACAACTTCCCATGGTAAGTCCCATCATAAAGCAGTGGCCCCAAGTAGAGAGGGACCCCAAGGATGCCAAGGACTGAAGGAGTGGCGCTGGGCCAAGAACTGGCCCACAGTCAGAGATGCCTAGATGCACAAGGACTCAACCAAGACAGTCCCCTGAGAGGTTGGGAAGGGGGAGGAAATGGGTGCTGCTCCTCTAAGGAAGGATCTGAACACCAAGCTAAAAGAAAAGGCAGAAAGGTTAGGCACCTTCAAGGCAGGAAGGGATGGGAGCAAATCAGGAAGAAAGGCCAAGGGGAGCCCCTTCTGAGGAGGGCAGGGCAGCATGACAGAGGGTGGGCATCCCTGGGCACAGGCTAAGGAAGGACCCAGGCTCTGGGCATCCTGAACAGACTCACAGTGTGGGCAGACAACAGGGTATCTGCACTCTAACCCTAGCAGGGCCCAGTAACCTTCCAAGGGTGCTAGTTGGGGACTAGAGGCCTAACCAGAGCTGGCACCATGTGAGGGATGAGACAACTATTTAACCACTGGCCCACCAGGCACATTGATCATCCCTCCTTTGCCCCTGCAGGTAAGGTCCAGCAGACCCAGCAGGAAGCAGGAGCACATGCTCTGAGTGGCAAGGGAGCCTTGGACCTGCCACTTCACTGCTCAAGGTTATTTCCTCTGCAGAGAACAAGGTTGAGTGAGTGGGCTCAATTTCCCTATATAGTTGTATCCCCCATATCCATGGAGGGAGATGCATTCTAAGCTTTCCCAGGAGATGCCTGAAACCACAGATAATACATACCATGTTTTTTCCCTACACATACATACCTACAAAGTCTGACAATTAAGTTCACAAACTCAATTCTAGAAAAAGCACTACATACCTCATTGCTGAATATTGCTACGGTCACTTCTGAAGTACTCCCCTTTATAAGCTATGCTCCAATGCCAGCACCTAATCCAATTTTCAAAACAATTTTGGAACTCTCTTTCTGGAATGACCATCAGAGCTGTAATCATATTACCCTTGATGTGCCAAATGTCATCAAAACGTCTTCCTTTCAATATTTCCTTTATCTTCAGGTAAAGAAAAAAGTCATTAGGGGCCAGATTGAGAGAGTAGGGAGGATATTCCAAAACAGTTATTTGTGTACTGGCTAAAAATTCCCTTACAGATAGTGCTGTGTGAGCTGCTGCATCGTTGTGACACGAGAGCCATGAATTGTGGTTTTGTCTAACTTTATCATGCAGCCTTTTCAGCACTTCCAAATAGGAAGCTTGGTTAACTGTTTGTCTACTTGGTACAAATTCACAATGAATAATCCTCTGATATCAAAAAAGGTTAGCAACATTATTTTGACTCTTCATTTGGAGTGACACATGTTTGGTCAGACAAATTTTTGGTCCTGGAGAACTGGCTGACTTCTATTGTGCATTTTGATACTTTGTTGCAGGGTTGTAACAAAGTGTCACCATGACACTTTAGTTCACTCATGTTTCATCACCAGTGATAACATGGCACGAAACATCATCTTGCCTCTCCAGAACGTCTTGGTAAACTTCGGCTCTCCTTTGCTTTTGTTCAGCAGTGAGCTCCTTAAGGACCATTTTTGCACACACTTTTCTCATACCAAGATTTTTAGTTAAGAGTTTCCTGTTCTCTATGCTTCTCATAGTCCACTGATGATTTCAACACACAATTTGATGAATTTTTACAATGTTTTTGTCAGTTCTGCTCGTTACTGGCTGTCCTAAGCTCTCTTCATCAGGGACACTCTCTCCCCCCTCAGAAAAACATTTAATATGCTTGTATACTGCCATTTTCTCTATGGCATTATCCCCACAAACTTGGACCAACATGTCCCTGATTTCACTTACACTCTTGCCAAGTTTAACAAGAAATTTAATGTTTATTCATTGCTCTAATTCAACCTCTGACGACATTCTTGCAATGGCACACAAAAACACACAATAATGAACGCCACTCAGCAAGGCACCACCACACATTGACATGAACACAACTGTGAGACGCTGATAGACCAAGGTTAGGAAACCTCACTGAGTTATTTACATAGTGGTGCCAATGTAAGCATACACACTTAATTGTCAGGCCTCGTATGATACAGTGTAATTTAAATTAGGCATAGTAAGAGATTAACGACAGAACAATTATAACAATATTCCACCATAAAAGTTATATGAATGTGTGTGCACATGTACAAAATATTTCTCTATGTGTTGCTATATAAATGTAAAAATATAAGAAATAGGAAATATAATATAAAAGACGTATTTGGTAATTTTCCTATTGACGGAGACCATTGAGACATCCTGTACTGTACTATTTTCAGGTGGTGGTTCACTATGGGTAACTGAAACCACTGAAAATGACTGCATGGAAAAGGGTGGGGGAGGGGGACTGTAGTTCAGTTCCATATTTCAGTAAAGTCCACATAAACAGACAAGAAGAGGTAGCACCTTCTCTCTTACTCTGATACCTGACGCATCCCTGCTCCAGGCTGAATTCTGAGACCTCAAAGAGTCTTAATAAAGAATAGCTAACTTGGCTCCGTGCCTGTAACTCAGCGGCTAGGGTACCAGCCACAAACACTGGAGCTGGTGGGCTAGAACCCAGCCCAGGCCTGCCAAACAACAATGACAACTATAACAAAAAAATAGCCAGGCGTTGTGGTAAGTGCCTGTAGTCCCAGCTACTTGGGAGGCTGAGGCAAGAGAATTACTTAAGCCCAAGAGTTTGAGGTTGCTATGAGCTGTGATGACATGGCACTCCCCCAAGGGTGACACAGTAAGACTCTGTCTCCAAAAAAAAAGTTAACCTACTCTGATATCTGTGGAAGGACAGTAGCACATAATCACAGTTCTGTTCTCAACAGCCAGACTAGAAACAATAGCCATGCCATGATATGAACCACAGGTTTCTCCATCCTTGTGTGTGAGCAAGAAGATGATTTCTTTCCTTATTTCAGCCTTTCCTTTACCCAGCTACTATGGCCCAATAGGCTGGACCGAAAAAGACCAGTAAGAGTTCACGCTGTCCATTTGGACACAGAAGTTACTCTCACTATCCTTGACTAAACAGATTCATAAGAAAGTATGTACGAAGGTTCCAGGGATACTAAAGCTCTGTTTTTATTAAGTTCGGTTATCATGTGTTATTTGTATGCACTGCTATGTCCCTTCTTTATTTCTACTTAATAAGCATTTTTTCCATTTGGTTACACACTCTTCTAGGTAATAGTAAACCCTTTCACAGAATCACCTGTAATCTCATTTTAGCCTGCCGTTGTGTTTCTAAAGAGCACATGGTTTTAGATTAGAGCAGGGATTGACAATTTCTGTAAATTGCTAGATAGTAAATATTTTAGGCTTTGCAGGCTGTATGTTTTTGGTTGCAATTACTTAACTCTGCTGTTGTAGCAGAAAGGAAGCCATAAACCATATGTAAATGGATGATCATGGCTGTGTTCCAATAAAACTTTATTTACAAAATCAGCCACAGGAAGATTTGGCACAAGAGCCATACTTGGCTGATGTCCTAGACTGAAAAATAAAAATGGCATATAACGAGAAGATTTTGCTTGTGTGCCCACAAAAACATCACTTTAAATGGCTACATTATATTCATACCACAAAGTGGATATACTAATTGAGAGGATACTTCATAATTTACTTAACAATTTTCCATGTGTTGGGCAGTTGGGTGGTTTCCCTTTCTTTTCTTGTCTAGTTTTCTTTAAAAAAACAAAAAAACTTTCATTGAAATTATTTTCTGAATTTAAGAATTTTCCCAGAGAAAAGATTCCCAGATGTAGAACACAGGCAAGGTGCCTGGGTTTCAAATGTTACATTCCTGAGAACATCTTTAGGTAGGATTTGTAACTCAGACACCTGAGAAACAGTGTATATACAATAATAACAACAACACCAGAACGGCTCATATCTGGTAATAATAACATAGTGTAATACTGTAATAATAATACCCCTGTTCTGGCAGAGTAAGTTAAAGAAACAACTGTGCTCTTTCTTTTAATTTCTAGGTTAATAGGAATGTTACAATTATTTTGATCTTCTAACCAAATAATAATAACCTTTCCAATTTGATAATGAATCCACTATGCTATTTAGTAATAATTGATGCTTTCATTGGAGCACAGCTTTTCACACATTCCGTTATTCTCACTTTATCCTTTATAATTGTTCCAAGAGGCAAGCCACCGAAGCTTATGTCTTTCCCAGTGAATGATGGTATCTGGCCTTTCTCTGAACCTTTCGGTAGTCCTACTTTTGTCTCCATTGTGATCCCTTTCCCCTTCCCTACAGGCTCACCTGGACCTGCAGTGGACTTTCATTTTGGAGGCATGGCAAGAAGGATAAAATACAGATTTCCAAAATCAAATAAACAAGTTAAGACAAAAGTGATGCTGTGTATAAGGGACCATATAAACAATGAGCCTGGCCACTCGTGGGAAGACACTGCACTGTGAACCACTTAACACGTGGGTTTGTTTACGTGTGCAGAAGAAACAAGTTGGTGAATTACTAATTTTTTAATTATAAATTATCCTTATGGGGAGCCTTGTCAACCTGTTTGTAAGTACAGAATGCCATTGACTCAGGTCATCCATAACCCAGGACTACCTGTACAAAATTAATGTAAATTCATGAGTTTAAAGGGACAGATCCATGCAGCTGCACTGCACACACCCCTACTCGAAGATCAGGGTAGGAGGTATTTTGCTATGCCTCTGGCAACATTTAATTTTTTAAAGCATGTTAATTTGGTAAGAGACAAATTAGTATCTCATTGTGTCACTGCAAGGTTCCATGATTACTAGCAACTCTTCGTATTTACATTTGAAATCAAGCAATAGATCAGTTGACACACTTTCTCAGGACAAGCATTAAAAGTCTGCTATAAAGGGTCGGGCATGGTGGCTCACGCACCATGACCCAGGCATAGAACCTGTAATCCTTGCACTCTGGGAGGCCGAGGCAGGTGGATTGCTTGAGCACAGGAGTTCAATACCAGCCAGGTCTCTAAAAATAGCCAGGCATTGTGGCAGGTACCTATAGCCCCAGCTACTCAAGGGGCTTAAGCAAGAGGATCGCATCGCGCAAGCCCAAGAGTTTGAGGTGGCTGTAAGCTATGACACCACAGCACTCTACTGAGGATGACAAAGTGAGACTCGGTCTCCAAAAAAAAAAAAAAATGAAGTCTGCTGTAGACTGTCTGCATGCCCCATCCCCAAATTGCAGAATGACTGGACTAAAGCTGAAAAGATCTACTCCTAAGTGACAGTAGAAAATTCAAACATCTAAAGAAGCCAGAAGAGCATAAGTGCTGGCCCACTTTGACTCTCTGCCCCTTGAGTCAAGTGCTGAGGACTTCAGCTGAGAGCAACACGCAGCCCGACCCTCACCTGGACTCCATGGGCCCCTGCTTCTCCAGAGGTCTGATCTTCTTAGGATACACGGGCAGTGTGGTCGTGTCGATGACTTTGGTTTCTCCGTTGCTATAGGTAAACTCTAAAGTACCGTTCCATTCCCCATGAGCTTTACAAACAATGGTGTTGGTTGGATTGTGCTTCACTTCTGCTGTGACCCTGAATTAATGAACGAATCAAATGAACACATTTAGCGAGAGTATCAAAACAGAGACTTCAAAAGGTGCATTCATACTCGGAGAATTTTTTATGGAGGGTGGGAAGGAGGAACTATTTCTGCAGTTTGCTCAAAGACTAGCTCTTAAAATATAACCCTTGAACAGACAAAGAAAGCACTAGTGGAAAAACGGATGAAATCTAAATAAAGTTCCTAGATTTGTTAACAGTAATGTAGCACCATTAATTTCTTGGGTTTGATAAACACACATTGTTTATATAAAATGTTTTCTTTGAGATGGAAATCAAGCAATTCAGCAAAAGCAAAACAAAACATACCCTTTCCTCCCCCGAATGGCACATAACAATACTACATTTTAACCCCCAAAAGAGCACAGGCGTGTAGGGAGAGCTTTTCCATCCTTAACTGAGGTCAGTTCTATTTGGGGTCAAAGATGGTTGCTGATAATCCCAAGAGAGCTCACACTGGGGAGGGAGGGTTATGTCCAGGGCCTCTGAATGAAGGCTGAGCAGAACCCAGACTCTCGGCCTCATATCAGCACCTACCCACCATCGGCAGGGCTCCAAGATGACCTTGAGCCTTTCTTTACTAGGGCCTACTTATGGAGATTGTGACCTCTCTTTCGGCCGCTGCTCCTGTGCTAACTCCACATCTCTGCCTCTGGGTGAAAGCAGACTCCTACCTCCCTCTCTACCTTCCAGCTTTCTATAGTCAGAGTAACACAGGGAAAACAGGGAAGCTCACTCCAGAGCAGCCAAGTTGAGGAGCAGAGCTTCTCTTTTTCTTAAGGCCCATCACAGACTCAAGTTAAGAGTTTTCAAACACAGACTTGAACTTTCTCCCTTAGCCCCTTAACAGCCACCGTTCCCAGGTGGTGAGGCAGAGGCTCACAGGCAGGAGGAATCTGGGGTGCATAGAGCGGGAAGGGTATTGGGGTGTGCTGGTAAATGTTCAAAAACTGGCTTTCTCCAGGGAGTATAACATTTGATCTGGGGCATCTGTGGTGTCCCGTCACCAGTGGTTTCAACGGCCACCATGTTGTCACCAAGGGTGGAGATAGGGAGTAATGAGTGCAGAGACGGGAGACATGCACAGAAATCAGGTCTCGCAAGCCTGCGTGTGCTGGCTACAGAATGCCGCAAGGGCATCCACGTGCCCGGGCTATGCTGTGGAATGCATATAAAATGTATGGCAAAGATGGGCCTTTCCAGCTTCTCAAAGGAGAGAAATGGTCTTGAGCTCACAGACACATAATACAAAGATTCGAGTTAACGGAGCCAACTCAAAATGAAATGGGGAACTGCTTGACAACATCTGGGTTCACAGAATAAATCACTGCAGAGCATAGAAACAAGCTGTGGCTTCAGAAGGGAGAGGTTACTGTAACAAACAGAACCACCTGTTAGACCAGTGTGTGTCCTGCAAATCACCGAAGATTTCACCATACAAGGGGAGGGAAAAAGACGAGTTAACAACTTCATCCTGATTTTCAACTCATCCTGTCACCTCATCCTCAACATTCTAATGGAAAGAAAATCAGGACATGGTGGTGAGGCCACGCCAGCCTTCCCTGGCAGGTTCCTACCTGTGGACTTTCCCTCCATAGAAAGGCTTGGTGTGGAATGTCACCGTCGCGGAGTACCCAGTCTTGGCGCAGTTGATGCTGACTTTTCCTCCGAGCTCCACCCAGGGGATGGTGAGAATAGACCGGGCATAGGCACTAGGCAGGGTGAATACATACTCTTCCCCATGTTCCAGGAGCCTCAGCACACCTCCAGGGAGAGAGCAGGGAAAGTTAGACACACAAACAGAGGAAAGGGGCATGTGGGGATCGGAAGAGGAGAGACCAAAATGCCTCCTGTGACACGTCACACCTCTGCAGACGGCAGCTTCACACTCACCATATGTTCCACCTGTGCAAAGTGCTGAGAATACAATGGGGAACAAAACAGACCCACTTCCTGCCCGCAGTAAGTAGCACAGAAAGGCAGATAACAGTCACCAAAGGGACGCAAAATCGTAACGTGATAACGGTGGGGGAGAGGTGCCTGGTGCCATGGAGGCCTCCAGCAAGAGGAAGTGACCTGCACAGGGAAGGTTTCCCTGGGGAAGGGACGCTGGAAATGAGTAAGAGTCAAGAAAGTGAAGAGGTAAAGGAAGAAGGTCCCAGCAGGGGAAGAGCAGGGCTGAAGGCCCTGCCTTGGGAAGGAGCCGGGTGTGCATGAAGGGGCCGAGAAGGGGGCCCACAGGCAGAAGGAAGGTGGGCAGGTATGGCAGATGACCAGGGCAGCAGGGCCAGATCCTGTCTTTTAAACTTCTAAAAAGTATCTGCCTTTATCCTGAGAGCAACAGAGACAATTTCAATGGTTTTCATGAAGTTAAAGAAGTCAGACTGTAGAGCTGCTGCCAGCCACCTGTAGGAGACACCTACCACTCACCTACGCCCAGATCAGGGCTTCTCTAACCTAGGACCCAAGGATCGGGCTGGGAGGGGTCTTAAACCTCTTGAAGCAATGCAGAATTAGGTAGGTTTATTTTTCTAGAGAAAAGGGCCACTTAATGTTCCTAGGGTAGTTTGGGGGGAAAAAAGAGGGGGGCACAGTTTTCATCAAGTTCTCAAAGACCACTTCCAAAATGTATAAGCTCCAGGGCTACCGTGTAGTTTGTGCACGGAGGTCCCATACAGGCCGGCAGGGGCCCTGGGATCTAGCTCTACGGTCCTCTGAGATGTACGTACGTATTCCATGTAAGGCACCTCTCAGGGCTTGACTCTGCTCTCGCTCACCCCAGGGCCACCCCCTTATCAAGGACACCCTGAGTTAAGAAAGGGCAGAGGACCACACAATTAGTGACAGCCCCTCCCTGGGCTCCTGGTCCTGCAGTGGGAAGAGTGAAGAGTGAGCTCAACATCTCCCATGTGCCAGCACGTTCTGGCTGCCAGATGTTCCTGGAGGCTGTACAAGCCCACTGTCCTTTGAGCCTCATAAGTACCCAATATAGCAATATTTTTATCATTGGATGAGGAACCTGAAACCCAGGGAGGTTGAGTAATTCAACTGGTCAGTACTTCTTTCTCAGCTAGACAAGCATCTAAATCAATTAGAGCTAGAAATTGCACAGGAGAGAGAAGGCGGAGGGCGGGGGGCAGGGAGAGAGAGAGATGTTGAGATTTCTTTTAGTGTGTATTAGCTTACCAGGGGAGTAAGTCTGGGGAGAGAAGGAGCTCGTTTGTATAGAGAGTGTGATCACTGTTAGCTCCTAAAGTCAATACTAAGATGCGTTCAGCTGTAGTTCAATTTACCCTTGAAAATTCCTTTAATTGCCCATCAACTATAATACGTAGAATATACTAGGCTTGTCTGGACCAGAACCCTCACTCTAAGTCCATTAAAATCATAAGTTCCCCGACCAACAGAACAGATGACTGGTTCTGTAAACCCAAGGTGGCATCCTGGCATATGTTTAGGGTCTCAGTCACTCTAGGTACGAGAGATGCTCACACATAAGGGCACACACAGGAACCAAGAGCACAGGAGAAGCAGATCCATGGGTGGCTTGCAATCATGTGGGCAGGACTGGAGGGCAGACATCACAGCAGCATTTAAATCCGTCTCTCTCCAATGAGGAATAGAATTGACTACGTGGAATGTAAATGTGCAAGTGGCATAACTCCTCCACACTCAATGCCTCCCTGCATCCCTGCTCCAGCTGGCTGTGCTCCCTTGACTCAATTAACACATCTTTCAGAAAGTCAAGCCCAGGCCCCTTCATGCTCTCTGATCCTCTCCGTCTCAGAGAGAAGAACTGCCCCAGGTGACTTCTAAGGCCCCCTCCCATCCACAACTTTAGGGAGGACTGTTGCGTTTGTGAGAATTAGACATTGGTCTTGGGATCCTTCTTGTAAGAACCCTTGGAGATTGGCCAACTCTGATAGCTTTTTTGTTTCAAGGCCTACTTTGTAGGCTTGAATTGGATTAATGAGAAGTTAGCCCAAAGCAGGTAGAAAATTGCAGCCAATTCCAGAGACAGACCAACTGTTGGTTCTTCTTGACTAAGAAGTCAGAAGGGAAAATTGAAGAGAGAGAGGCCATGTCAGATGTCCCTCTGTCCCCAGGTTTTACTCCCCAGTGCCAGCCATACCCTCCTAGACTCGGAGCCTATGGCAGCTGGGAGAGGCCCCTGGGGCCTGGAAAGAAGGCTGCCAGTCAACTTGCCTTCAAGGCCTCAGAGAAGAGGGTCCCACCTCCCCTGCTCCAGAGCTAATAGACCACAAATTTTTGACTGTACAATGGCATGAAAGTGATATACATTCAGTAGAAACTGTACTTCAAGTTCTGAATTTTGATCTTTTCTTGGGCTAGCCACCTGTGGTGCGATACTGTCCCACAATGCCAGGCAGCTCCCAGTCAGACCCTCAGTCATCAGGATGAATAAGCAAATACTTCCCAGCGTGCTGTGTTGCAGACGATCGTGCCCACCTGTAGACTACCATTAAGTGTCTGAGCACGTACAGGCAGGTGAGAGACTAAGCTCTGATGTTTGGTAGGTTAGGAGCATTAAATATATTTTTGACTTAGGATATTTTCAGCTTAGGATGGGCTTATCAGGACACAACCCCATCACAAACTAAAGAGCATCTGCACTTTCCTTCCAGGTGGCTGTCATGCCTCCCAGCACTGGAACCTCACCCCTGGTGTCTCCTGTGTCCCTCTCTTTTTTTTTTTTTTTTTTTTGAGACAGAGCCTCAAGCTTTCCCCCTAGGTAGAGTGCTGTGGCATCATAGCTCACAGAAATCTCCAACTCCTGGGCTCAAGCGAGTCTACTGCCTCAGCCTCCCAAGTAGCTGGGACCACAGGCACCTACCACAACGCCCGGCTATTTTTTGGTTGCAGCTGTCATTGTTGTTTGGCGGGCCCAGGCTGGATGCGAACCTGCCACCAGCGCCTTAGCCACTTGAGCCACAGGTGCCGAGTCTGTGTCCCTCTCTTATGGTTGACCCTTCCTGTCCTTAACTGGAATACCCTGAGGACCCCCACTCACTCACATGTCTATCCAGCCAAACCCGCACACCAGGAGCACACAGAGCACGAGCTCTCAGGTACCAGGACAAACTTGGGACAGTAGGATCGCACAGCTAAGATTTTCTTTACAACATTTGTACATGGAGACTATGCCACACAAATGGATGAGATCTTATAGGAGGATCATTCCAGCCTGGTGATTTTAACTTCTCCACACCACAGTTTCCTCACCTATGACACACAGGCGATGGGGTCTGCACCTCATAGGGCCGTGATAAAGATGGACAAGGTGATTCTGAAACTCCAGGAGGCAGCACTGCGGCCTGACCCTCCCCTGGAACCCTGCAGGCTTTCTATCCCGGTTACTCCACATCTCTAAAGCAGCTCTCCTGATGGGTGAATTGTTAACCACGGTATTGCCACTTGGTGACAGAGAAGAAGGCAGAAAGTCTGGTGGTGGGTTTTGCATGTGGGGGATGGGAGAGATAGGTGAGAAGAGAGTTTTGAAAGTATAATTCTTTCATGAGAAATAACATCCTTCTCCCATTCATCTTTAGAAAAATCTCTTCCAAACCAAGGTGCCATTTCCCTCAAGTCCCTGGAAGTCAGCCCCAGAGCTAAAATGACGTGAAGGCACGGGCATGAGCACATTTCTTTGGCTCTTTTCTGAAAATCCATAAATGTGCTCACTCATTAAATCAGGTATGATTATGCCTTCTGAGTACTAACTCTTTTTCTTCAGGGTTACATAAAAGAAATCCATCCTTCAAATGAATAAAACACTATTAAAATTAGACTTACAAATGAGATTATGCATGAAAGTTACTTCTTCAGGTGGCCTAAGAACTGAGAGAAGCTGAAAAATGCCGAGTAATCAATCCTTCCATGCTGTGGTTAGTCCTTCAGCTGGGACATTTTCATTTGAAATTCCACAAATTGATTTACCAATAAAGCATTAAAGTTTTCATACTGATGAATTTAAAGTAATTTCATGCCTGACCTCAACCTGAGGACAAGTAAAATATTCTGCTAGGACATCTACTCTGAAAAGCCTAGAATCACAGATCACGACTCTGGGGGTGCGTTTGCAGACACCAGCGGTGCGTGCACGAGTAACCTTCCCGCAGTTCCTCATGTCACTTCCCTCTCTGGAACTAATCGCCTTTCCCTACAGACGCAATTACAAGACTGTGCCATGTACTGGGCATTGATTTGGGTGTTTGGGGGAGGGGGGTTTGCAAAGAGCAGCTAAATAGACCATAGCTGCCCACAGTGAGGTTGGGAGGGGTGAAGATCAAGCTGCCCAGGGAGGGGGGGGTATTAGTGACAAAGCACACAGGTGACATGGCGCACCCACCTCACCAGCACCCACTGCAGGTCGTCAGGGAGAGAAGGAAGTAGTCGAAGGCTCCCCAGGGACTGGGTTTCTCCAACTGAAGAATTCTCTAGATCACTAAAAACGGATTTGCAAATCCTTACTTTTATAAGAGATTTCCAGATATTCACCTAACGGCAAGAATCCTGCTTAGGGCCACAGACTAGGAGGCATCCACCAGGATTCCAATTTAAGTGTCTGGTTTTCCCATGCCTTGGCAAGAAGTGGCAATAAGCATTTCTGCTGAGTGTGGAGGTATCTCCAGAAAAGAAGGTGAACAAACATTTTCTATGTGACAGAAAATGCACTTAGTTTTAACAAAAGGTATTACATTTGCCAAGCACTTACTCTGACTAACCACAGACTGAAACTCTGTGTGTGTGTGTGTGTGTGTGTGTGTGTGTAGGAGGGCGGAAAAGAAATAAGAAACAACTTGTCTCTCTGCTTCTGCCTTCACCCTGGGCCCTCCCCACTCCATCTTCAGTCTATTCCCTCAGCAGCTATAGGCCTGGAGCTAAGATCATGCCCACCTTCCAGGGCCCCCCAACTCACTCACAGTAAAAGCCAAAGTCCTTCCAGGCCCCCAGCTAGATCCCATGACCTGGCCTCTCCTCTCTGGCCTTGTCTCCTCTGCCTGGCCTCCCTGCACTCTGCTGCAGCCTTAGCAGCCCCCTCCCTGTCCTCAGAACACTCCTGCCAGGTGTTCCCACCTCAGGGCCTTTGGTCTTACTGTTCCTTTGCCTGGATCACCCCTTCTTGAGCTATTCACAAAGCTTCTTCCCTCCCCAGCTTCACACCTTCACTTAAGTCATTCATTCTTGTTGAGGTCCTATTGAGACTGCAACTTCCCTGCCCCACCTGGCTCTCTACCACCCTTGTCTCTTAATGCCAATCATCATCTATCACACAACAGACTTCACACATGTGTCTTGTCTCTGTCTGCCCTGCCTGCTGGAGCATTAGCTCCGGAGAGCATGTATTTCTCTGTGTGCTGTAGCCTTTGCTGCATCTGAGTACCTAGGACAAGGCCAAGACTTCACAAATAAATGGATGAAAGGCTAAGTGAATGGGTAAACCAGTGGGTTGATTTGAGCCACCACTGTTACAGATAAGGAAATAAGTATCTGTATAAAACCTGCAGGGAAGCAGCATGCATAGGGCACAGAAACCTGGGCTAAGGGTGTAAACTGCATTCCCTACCATCCCTAGAAACATATTTCGTTTTCAAGGAATTTATTTTGTGGGAAATTAAAAATGTATAGTAAAGTTAAGTGGAATGAGACAAGATTCCTAAATATCAATTTTTGGCTTTTAAAAAAGGGAACTATTTTTACCAGTACCCCCTGCATAGCATGAGGCAAGCCTTTAGTGACCTGTGACAACACAGAGCCCCTGGTAAGTAAAAAATCAAGATTAATGTCACTTCCACGTCTCACTGTACACCCAAATACACAAATCAATGCAACATAAACCTCTCACATGGGGTCTGTAGCAATTTTCTAGCTGCTTTCAACAGGAAGGCTGCCTGACCTGAGCTCTAGGCTCAGGGAACTGTAGGAGTCAGTCTCTGGCCTGAGACACCCTTGTTGGGACCAGAGTTCTCCTGTGAGGAAATATCCAGCTTCGTTCCTCTGGCCCTGTCCTCTGGAGTTAAGTTTGTGTTCCTGGCTTCAGAGAAACAGGTCTCCAGGGCCCTGGCTGAGGCCTTTGGAGGCCCCACCCCCCAGCCAGTCCATGCCTGGCCTCCCCCTGCTGCCCCCTCTCCTAGTCCTGGGCTGTGACCTCAGGAGATTCCTAGAGACTTCTCAGATTCTGATTTCTCACACACAGATCAGGGATGAGCTGATGAGAAACAGCCGCTAACTCACAGAGACCCCCAGCACCTGCCTGCGTCCCCATCACGGGTTTCCAGGGCAGCGTCAGTATTGTGGGTATGTGCGCAACCCTGGGCGAGTTGCCTCCCTTGGGATCCTCATCTGTGGCACAAGGTAGGTGGACCCATCAGAGGTGTGCTGAGCACTCTGACGCATTCTGGGGGGTGGGCTCTGGTAGGGAAGTCTAGCAGGCAAACAGGTGAGGGTAGACGGGGATGCTCAGGGTGGAGTGGACTTGGGGGAACAGAAGCCTCACCACTTGCTCCTTCACCCCTCCAGGCCTGAGCCCCCCTAAGGAGCCCTGGGATTCTCTGTGGCATGGCTGGAAACCCAGAAGATATATATTCCATGTCCTGGAACGGCTTTTCTCCAAGAGACCACTCCTGACACCCCTCTCTCCTTTCAACAACAGGAAAATCCAGACCAGTCTGCTGCGTATTAGGATTTTTCTGATACCCTAAAATCAATGGGTAAACCAGAGATTTGATTTTCTGCCTCCTTATCTGTAACAGTGGTGGTTCAAATCAACCCCCTGGTTTACCCATTCACTTACCCTTTCATCCATTTAAAAAAAATGGTTGCACCTTCACAAAAGAGAACTCAAGAGAGGAAGGATACTTAGTATTGGTGACATTTATTTAAAGAGATGTGTGTTCATCTCTCCCCCAAACATTCAGCTTACCCCCATCTGATTCTAAAAGAGGCCTAAAACTAGGTGGCCTAAGGTTAGCCTGGTGACAGGTGAGTCCCTGGCCTCCTTCACAGACTGATGAGTCTCTCTTTGGTGAACTCTTTGGCGGGGAGTTCTAGCTAGTCCATCCTTCCACCCTTTCAGGACAAAAACCTGGTGACCCCTTTCTCTCATAACTCACACCTCATCCAGAGGCAAATCCTCTTGGCTCCCTCTACTTGAGAACCCAAGCAGACTCTCCCTACCTGTCACTTCCTCCACCATTTCCACCTGGTCCTCCTGCCTAGATTATTCTCAGACCTCTTCACTGGTTTCCTTGCTCCCACTGTCGCCACCCCACCCCCACCCCACTTAGGGTCTGTTTTCAACAGGCAGCTGGAGCAATTTTGTTGGACTAAAAGTCAGAGGCTGGAATTCTTTGGCTCAAAATCCTCCATGATCTCTTAGTTCCCTGAGTGTAAGAGCCAGCGTCCCTATAATGGCCCTTCAGGGCTTACATGATCTGGCTATGGTCACTGCTCAGACCTGACCCCCAGTCCCGTCCACCCTGCTCCAGCCACACGCACTTCCCATCTCCCCTGCTGTGCTAGGGACATCCTGCCCCTGGGCCTCTGCTTTGTTCATTCTGCCGTACACTGTTACCTGAGTCCACAAGGCTTGGCCCTGCTGCCCACTTCAAGTATTTGCTCAAATACCACCTTCTTGGGGAGATCTGCCCCCCTGAAACCTCAACCACACTCTCCCTAGCACTCCCAGGCCTCTTCCCCGCTTTATGTGTATTTCTCTACAGCATTGATCATCCTCCAGCATTTCACATAATTGATTTTATTTACTTATTTCATTCTGCAGCAGACAGCAGTCCAACAGAACTTCGTAAGGACAGATTTTTGTCTGTTTTGTTTACTCAAGCATCCATAGCCCCTAAGACAAGGTCCAGCATTTCATAGGTGCCAGATAAAAGCGTGCTGAGTGAATGAAAGGTCTTTTCTCACAGTGTTTGGAAGGGATTTCAGAGAGCCACATACTCCCTGAAACTGAAAGCCAAACTTTATGTTAGATTGTCCCCATCCTGGGAAAAGAGTCACAGCCTTAAAGTCTCAGAGATTTGTGACTCAAAAGAGTTGAGGCACCACTAACACAGATGCTTGAACTTAACAAGGATTATTACAGGTTTCTCCAAACAATGAATAAACTTCATTCACAGCTATTTGCCCAAATAGGAACGTGTAATCCACCAGTGGTGTGATTATACTGCGTTCTTGAATTTCCAGCATAGAGTCAAAAGATTTGCCTTGGGAATTTTTATGAGCAGATTTTGAATAGGCAACACTATTACTCTCATTGTCTGTGAGCCAGACACTGGTGAGAATGAATAAAAATGTGTTTTCACAGATCGGGAGCCAATTCTAATATTCACGCAAAGCTGAAAGAAAAAAGTATCTGCAAGGTGTGTGCAGACGCAGCATGTGAGATCCCAGCAGGTAGCTGTATCCACGGGGAAAAGACCAGGCCTGCTTCCCCCAAAACAACTGCACCCCTCCTTCCCATCAACTCCCAATTCCAATTCTAAAACAAGTTAAAAGCAAAAATTTCCACACACAAAATTATCAGTCACCCATCAGCCATGCAGAGATCACTGTGTAAGAGCTCCCATGTGGGCAGGGCTTACCTTCGCCTATCATGGAGACGCCCACGGACATGCCCATGAACTTGCTCTTGGTCCACACGTGAGTGCTGACACACAGTCTTCTCTCCTTGCACTCACAGTAGAAGCAGGAGATGGGAGGGTGGTGGGATACCTGCTCTGCCACAAACTTCAGCTTATAGCCTTTGGAAGAGTCATCCACTACCGGGCATTCATGGTCATTGCCAGATGAGGAGGCAGCAGTCCTCTTAGGCCTGACCTTGTCCTTGGGAACTTCCCAGGAACAGTGAAATGTCTCGCCAATGATGGGGTTGTAAGGCTTCTTGGCCAGAGCTCCCTTGCGGCCCTCATGGAAGGCTGTGAGATAATATTCCACGAAGCAAATGACTCTCTCCTCCGGCGTGGCCCCAGCGGTGACGGCCAGCAGCAGGTCTGGGTGGGCCATAAAGTCTGCATACATCTCCAGCAAGGATCGCTTCTCCAGAATAAATGTGGGAAGAACCACCTGCACCGGAAGGACACAAAGTCAGACAGGGATCCCTGTGATCACGTGCAAAGCTGAAAGGGAAAAGTGAAGGCCGCAACCACTGTCTAGCAAACCCCTAACAGCTCAAGACAGGGAATAGTTTCTTTTGATTTGTGCACAAATGACAATTCAGGGGAAACAACATCAAATAAATGAGAATTAGCCATGGAATAGACAACAGCCCAGCTCTGTGGGTAAGACCGCTTGTGATTTTCTTCTTTGCTTCTATGGGCTAAAACTGTTCTCCATCTCTGTGTCCACTGCCATCACTCCTTACATCTATATTTTCAGAAAATAGCTTTGAAGGGTTTTTCCATATTCTTCCTGCCATCAGGCATGACCAGAGAGGGCACACAGTGTACTCTCACAGATATGGACACTGGGGTTGGTTGGCACCACCAACAAGGGTGTCTGTGGGAGATCTGTTAGAAAAATGGTGTATAAACCCCAACATGATCGAGGCAGGGGAGGACTGTAGAAAGAGCCCTGCCCAGGGTTCCAGAAAGTAAGCCAACTAGCAGGCAAATGTCCGCAGAGCTGCCCTGGGGACCCCAGGGTGATTCCATCTGTGGAGGCTAGTCAACAAGGCTGGGCCAAAAGAAACCGCCAGAAATTGCAAAGTGGACTGGTGCTTAACAAACAGAATCTTCTGGTAAAGGACTGCTATAGGGGCTCCCTGTTGTAACTTGTCTCCGATCAGAGGGCTCCAGGAACATTATCAGCTCCCCCCAGGTTTGTCACTGGCCCCATAACTGGAGATAAGTAGAGACCTAGATAACCCTGTCGGGGTTGGGATGGAGACTCGTCACTGATCCAAAGTAGATCCAGGTAGTCACCTCGGGCCTCCACCATCTCCAGTGCCCATCACCCTATGATTATGTCGCTCAAAATAAAAGGAGGACATTCTCAATCTTGAAAGCAAGTAACTCATGACTATCACTGTTATATAATGGGAATAAAGTCCATTTCTCACTCCCATAGAGTGAACTTAAAATAACTTATTTGTTGGTTCTTATTTTGCTCACTTAGCTGCAAGACTTTAACCTAGAGCATCTCATATTGTTTCTTCCAGTGTGGATTCACCTGATTTTGAGTCTGGTATGCTGGCCACATCTTCTGCTCTTCTTTGACACTCTGACACGAGGGCAGGAAACCACCCTTCAGGTTCAAATGAGTTGACCAAGGTCATGTGGCTGGTTTATGTTCTCTCCTTATGTGACTGATTCTGCCCTTCCTTCATATCATCCCTAGTTCCCATGAGGACACTTGATCACTGACTACAAATACCACACAGACTGATGGACCTATCAACCAGATGCCACTTCAGTGTTTAAGACCCTTCCCTATAAATGACATGGATACAAGGGAAGGGAGAAGACATACCGCGATGGTCTGAGTCTGCCCTTCCAAAACCCATGTTGAATTTGATGCCCAAGATGGTGATGTTGGGAAGTGGGGCCTAGTGGGAGGCCTTTGGGTTATAGGGGCAAATCCCTTATAAATAGATGAATGGCCTCCATCAGGAGTGAGGGAGTTCTTGTGCTCTCAGGTGTGCGTTAGTTACTGAAAGAACAGCTGCTGTAAAAGCAAGTTTGGCTTCCTAGACTCTCCTGCTTCCTCTCTCACCTCCTGATCTCGGGATTTGCCAGTTTTTCTAATTCTCTACTCCCAGCTATATGTGGCACCATCTCTTGAACTCCCCAGCATGCAGATTGTGAGCCAAATAAATATCTTTTCTTTATAAACTGCCTAGTCTCAGTTATCCTGTTACAGCAAAACTAAATGGACCGATATAGACGTCTAGAGCGAAAGAGGAAGGCAGACAGAGCACCGAAGTACAAAGATTCCAGAGGAAGCTCAAAGCCAGGCCACTAGGAAGTAAAGTTTGCTAGGCACTTTTTAATGCTTTTCTATCATTCATTTGAAAATGATGTCAGAGGAAAATGTACCTGAGCTAAGTAAAAAAGCAGCCAGATGTAAAACTGAACATGTGGTACCATCCAAGTATCATAATAAGACTCAGAATGTTAATGTGCCACTCTGGAGGACAGACTGAGTCATTTTTAAAAGTTCTTTCTGAAAATTTTCCTGCTTTGTCTTTATAAGATAATACACAGGAAGAAAAAACATATTATCTGAAGTAAAACTATCCAAATCAGGATGGCGCCCATAGCTCAGTGGGTAGGGCGCCAGCCACATACACTGAGGCTACACCAACCCAGCCTGGGCCAGCTAAAATCAACAATGACAACTGCAACCAAAGGATAGCTGGGTGTTGTGGCGGATTCCTATAGTCCCAGCTTCTTGGGAGGCTGAGGCAAGAAAATCGTGTAAGCCCAAGAGTTAGAGGTTGCTGTGAGCTGTGATGCCACAGCACTCTACTGAGGGTGACATACAGAGACTCTGTATCAAACAAACAAAAAAACTATCCAAATCAATAGTGATTTCCTGGTCTTTATTCCAGCTGTAACTTGACAAAATTGGGAATTTAATATTCTGGCTTGGAATGGCCTTCAGATGCCACCTCTGTTACTCCCCATACCTGAGTCCCTAGGATGTAGCATGAAACTAGACAAACAGGTGAATCACCCAGGAGAGGTGACACCTCCATTTCTTTTGACATGTTGTGTGTGATTTCCCCAAAGCCCAAAATATTAACAATTGGCCAATAAAGGTAAAGAAGACATGGAAGTCTATTATACTATTTTTGCAACTTTACTGTAGACTGGAAAATGTCCAAAATGAAAAACTGAAGGAAAAACAAAAAAGGCTCTACTGGGGATACCATGCCTGAGACCATATCAATTTTCAAAGACAACCCTCCTGAAATTACAAACTCAAGGAATATGGGCTCTTAGCCAATATCAAATTCAACCTACGAGGTACGTATTCTGTACTTTGAAATTAAGCTGTGGCTTTGTTAGAGCTGGGAAAAAAGTAGAATACCTGGAGGGATGGCTCGGAATGGGTCAGGGGTGCAATTGCTACTTCCCGTCTCATCTCCTGTTGGTGTGTTTCACGGGTGCTGGGGCAGAATACTAGATTAACTTCAAAACCAGGCCTCACCACTCTGGATAAGATGTCATACTTTTTATTTAAATACATTTCTGAGTTTAGTCTGATGTCTTTCTCTCCTACAATCTCCCTTCCTTCCCTTTTTTGGTCTGTTTGCAAATAAGTCACTTAATCATCCGTTTCTTGGGCGGGGAACCCCGGGGACACAGAGCCCAGGGTGGTGAGCACTAATTGGGCTGTCTGCCTCGGAGAGGGTGAGTGATGGCCCAGCTGTGCAGACTGATGGCATCCAAACAGCCTGAAATTGTGGCTGCAGACTCACGGAGCCATCAATAAGGATTGTCTTGTCTCCCATTAACATAATTAAGACAATGAACTACTTTGGGGAAGGAAAAAAGGAGAGGATCTGCACTTGGGATTCAGAGAAGAATTAATTACATTTAAAGTCGCATCAATCTAGAAATAAATAACTAATCTTCAGGTTGGGTTCTTAGGCTCTTAGAAATTTAGACTAGAGGATCACCCATGAGAAAAGGTAAAAGACATCCACAAAGAGTGAAAGTGCCCTCCTCTCAGCAGGAAGCACAGCAGCCCTCTGCAATGGAAGGCTAAGAACAGGTATAACCTTCTTCAAAGAATCATCAGTTAATAATCTTGGGAATCATCTCCATGATATTCCATCCTTAGAATGGCAAATGCCTCCGGGCAAACAAAGAGAAGCCTAGACCACTACCTATGTTCATTTATGTAACACTTTAAGAAAACCAGAGGACGTACACAAAGACCCAACCTTGCAAAATTAAGGATAGTTAACCCACACTGCCAGAGATTAGCCAGCTTTGCCCAACTTTCCCCTGGGTTTCCTTCACATGCCAGCTCCTTCTGGGCCATCTCATGGAACTTGAAACATCAGAAAAGCCATTCATTAAAATTTTTGTTGGGGCCGGGAACAGTGACTCATGCTTATAATCCTGGTACTCTGGGAGCCTGAGGCGGGTGGACTGCTTGAGCTCAGGAGTTTGAGACAAGCTTGAGGAAGAGCACAACTCTACTAAAAATAGAAAAACTAGCTGGGCTTTGTTGCAGGCACCTGTCGTCCCAGCTACTCAGGAGGCTGAGGCAAGAGGATTGCTTGAGCCCAAGAGTTTGAGGTTGTTGTGAGCTATGATGATGCCACAGCACTCTACCCAAGGTGACAGAGACTGTCTCAAAGAAAAAAAAATTTTTTTGTTAGATGGAAAGAGTTTGAAATAAAATTTTACTTTTTCCACAAAGATATTCACTGCATAAAGACACAGCAGCTGAAATTAACCTCTGCCGGCTTGGCGCCCGTAGCACAGTGGTTACATCGCCAGCCATATACACCAAGGGTGGTGGGTTTGAACCCGACCCAGGTCAGCTAAACAACTGCAACAAAAATATAGCTGGGCGTTGTGTCTGGCACCTATAGTCCCAGGTACTTGGGAGGTTGAGGCAAGAAAATCGCTTAAGCCCAAGAGTTTGAAGTTGCTGTGAGCTGTGATGCCATGGCACTCTATCAAG